GCTGAGTACACTGTTAGATGGACTCTCTTAAACAGATGAAGTGTCTATGTTGGACTCAAGTCAAATACTGACACCATAGATTCTAATGGGTGGGAGAACACTTATACAAATGCTTTTCTTCTTTCTCCTTGTTTAGTTAACATAAATGAACATCGAATATACACAGTCAGTTCCATCTTTTCTTATAGAATATCTGTAGGTAACAAAAATAAACTTTAATTTACTTATGAAAACTTCTATAAGTATATGATGATAGAATTCACAAGACAATTTTTTAAGAGAAATTTCCAATTTTAGGTGTGTCTGTGAATCCATTTTTCATCTTTCCAAGTCAGATTACTGAAAGCTTATTGAGTTCCAACTCTTGTGTCCATGTCCATGGCTCCATGCATCACTAGTTGGGTATTGGGTGGGGGTCGTTGAAGTTTATTTTGGGTCACAAGGATCAGTGGTAGCAGAAGCGGCGATAGTCCTCTGTTGGGGAAATTTGTGTTCTTTAAGAGGGATTTTGCAATGTCCATCTGAATTTTCTGCACCTTGGGAGTAACATGGAGTAATTAATATGCTTGACTATTAATTGAAACTAGATGGACCATTAGATGGACCATTACCCTTGCGATCTGACAGTCTTGTGCTTTCTGCAGAAACAGGAAGAACTGTGAAAAGGCCAGCTTCATCATTAAGCTCCTCCAGATTTCTATTGTCTTTCAATGAACCAACCTTCATCTTGGCCTTCAAAGCTCTAGATTCAGCCAATCTTGCATATGTAGTGGCTTGACTGTGCAAATCAGCTGAACTTGAAGTTGTTGAAGTATAGTCCTAGTGAAGGATGTACATAAATACATCAAGATACTTGGGAAAAAACACTTGCAAAAGCCTAGTTTCAATGATAATCATAAGTTTGATAAGCATTCATTGAAAAAAAAACTCCAGTATGATACGCAGAACCTTTTGGATGACGTTAGTTGAGTTGTCTTCTCATCAAGCTTCTCAGGCACACTAATGCCTAGCACCAAAGAAAATATAGCCAATTCAAAACTCATAAAGGAAGCATTGCAATAAAATACATATAAGAAGAAAAAGACAAGGGAAAAAACATTTTATAATACCATTACTAGAAGGTGAAGTCTCTGGATTATCCATCAGCCTATGAGTCATTGGACTAGGATTCATGACGGATATGCTCCATATTTCATAACGAATTGCTTCTAGTTGTGCAATTGCATCTTGAAGTTCTTTGTGCACCTAAATGTCAAGATAACATAATTTAGAATCAACATCTTCTTAGTACTGAGAAATATGATCAATTCCAAAATGATCTTAGAGCTTTCTTATTTGAACTAGATAGATAGTGCAATGCCAAAACCAGGACAGTGGCAGAGTAATGAAATTGAAAGACATAAAGTACAAGCCAGGTAAATATTAAATAAAGAACCATTAATTATAAGAAATTGGATTACATTATTTCTTCTAATATCAATCCAAATTAGTTTAAAGAGTTCAATATAACTGTGCATTATAAGAGATACAAACAAATAATTTCAATTGTTTGGAAGGAAGAGGGTTCAACCCAGAAATGGAAAAAGATCAGAGAAGAAATACCTGCCTATTTTGAGACTGCTGCAAAACATTTTCGAACTGTCCACAAGCTAATTGAATATACCCAATTGCTTTGCCGGCGAACCTCCCCGCTGTTCTGGCGATAACTGGGAGATCCTTAGCACCTAAAACCAGTGAAACACCCAAATCCAATTCCTTAATTGGAGAATAAACTCAAAGAATAAGAACTCAAAAAGATCTTAGAGAAGAAAATTCAAAAGCATCTCGAAGAGGAAAAAAGCAAATGAACCGAAAGAACAGGCATTAGAAACAAACACAAAAAAGAATTTCCGGAAATGAAAAATAAATTAAATCTCAAATCCGAAATAGCATTCTAGAGGATCAATAGTGCCGGCAACAGAGTGGAGGAGGATGAAGCAACAAGAATGGAGGAAAATCAACGATGGAGCAGGAACGATTACTAGATCGAGCTGAGTAGCAACTGAGAGAATCAACAACAGCAAGATGATGGAGTGGAAGAGGAGAAACAAAGCGGTGATTTTTGGAGAAGCAGAACAAAGTGGAGGAGGAGAAACGCAGAGCCTAGAGGTGAGAGGAGAAACGCAGAGCCAAGAGGTGATTTCTGGGAAAAAGTCGAAGAGACACTCTCAACCTTATATGTTGTGGGGGGGCAATTTTGAGATTTTCTTTTTCATCTACTTACCAACCAATTTACCCGAGTGTCGCAAGGGTACCGTTTACCCGGGAAAATTAAACTTATCGTGGGTCCCACATAATTTTAGAATTCGAACGCAGTTCCCCCTTCACTTCACGAAAAACGAAAATGGCCGAAAAGATGTAATACATTAACTTTGAGATTGCAACAACTTTTTATCCGATCGAGAACCGATTCATCACAGAAGAGTGAAAGAAATAAAAAATAAGGAAACAACATTAAAAAAAAGGATAATAGCATATAAGGGCAACTTTTGGGGTTTAATATCAATAAAATAATATTTAAAAAAAATCAAAAATAGGTTAATTTTTTTAAAATAATATTATTAAAGAGCAAAACAATGTTCATCATCTTCTTCTTGCCATTTTGTTCACCAGCACCGCTGCCCGCCGTCACCCGCCATTGTCGTCCGCTGCCACCGCCTCCGCTTCCGACAATGTTGCCAGAGGTGGCTAGAGGCAGAGGTGGCAGTGGCGCTGGTGGTCATTCCTCTGCCCAGCGCCGCCACCACCACCTCTGTCTCCACCCACCTCCAGTTGCCGGAGGCGAAGGCAGAGGTGGAGGTAGGCGGTGGTGGCGGTGGTGGCGCTAGTGGTCATTTCTCTCCCCAATGCCGCCACCTCTGCCCACCTTCGCCTCCGCCTCCAACAACGTTGCTGGAGGTGGGTGGAGATAGAGGTGGCGGCAACTGCGCTGGGCAGAGGAATGATCACTAATGTCGTCGTCGCCACCGCCACCTCTGCCTTCGGCCACCTCCAGCAACATTACCGGAGGCGGAGGCGGAGATGGGAGGAGGCGTTGGCAGGCGGCAGCAGTGCTGGTGAACAAATGGCAAGAAGAAGATGATGAACAATGTTTTTGCCCTTTATTGATATTATTTTTAAAAAGTTAACTTATTTTTTAAATTTTTTTTAAAAATATTACTTTTATTGATATTAAACTCCAAAAAGTTGCCCTCATATGCTATTACTCCTAAGAAATAAACAGAGCTATTAGAGATCGATAGCATAAGAAAATGGGGTAATAGCATATAAGGTCAATTTTTGGGGTTTAATATCAACAAAAGTAATATATTTAAAAAAATTTCAAAAATGGATTAACCTTTTAAAAATAATATCAATAAAAGGCAAAAACACTGTTCATCATCTTCTTCTTGCCATTTGTTCATCAGAGTCGCCGCCCGCCACCATCCGCCACCGCCATCCGCCGCCTCCGCCCACCTCTGCCTCTGCCTCCGGCAATGTTGCCAGAGGTGGCCGGAGGCAAAGGTGGCGGCATTGGTGGTTTCTCTGTCCAACGCCACCACCTCCGCCCATCTCCGCCTTCGCCTCCGGCAACGTGTAGAGGCGGAGGTGAGCGGAGGTGAGCGGAGGTGGCAGCAGACGGCGGTGGCGGACGGTGGCGAAGGCGACTTACTGCCGCTTGGGAGAGAAAGTGATGGATCGAAATCGAGAAAGGGAGAGAAGGCGACTTACCGCTGCTGCGCCAATGAGGGAATGAAAGATAACGAAGGGGGGAGAAGAAGGAGAAGGAAAACAAAAGAGTGAGAATTGATGTAGCGGGATCTGACTACTCCCTGTTGGAGGACGATCTGGCTTCCAGTCGAGCGGCGAGCTAGGTGAATCTACAAGACAGCGGATCAGAGAACCCAGGGTGGCTAACCCAATGAGGTCGCTCCGATGCTTAAGTCAGTAAATTGCGATGCGAGCTGAAAGTTTTGAGAGCTTAGAGAGCTAGAGAGCTAGAGAGTAGAAAAATCACACGTACCTCAGGTCATTGGGGTTGGTGCCTTTATATACTGAAGTAGTCGTGGAGCTCACGAAAGAGCTCCGGGATATCCAGGATGTGGAGATAGAGTTCGTTCCTCTTCCGAAGGAGTAGTATATAGATAAGGCTTATCATTCCACTTCCGACTCTGGCAGAGTCGGGATGAGTCCTCTTCATAATCTCAAAAAAGTCGAGATCTGTTGGCTCATCGTGATCTCGAGAGATTCGGGATCCGTCGGAGAGACCTTTGGAGTTGGTTACGCAGGAGTCAATTACGTGGTGATTCGAGTTGTTAGTCCCAAGCTAGTACTTCGGTTCTTTTAGTTCCGAACTGGATTAAATGCCGAGGTGACTCTATGCCGAAGTGATCGAATACCCGAGCTCAATTGTTGCGAACTAGACTTGTCAGGCTGAGTTGTCATCTCTTAGTCAGGTCGTGTCCACGTGTCCCCTTTTCACTAGGTTGGGCCAAATCACCCTTCATCAACTAATGAAATTGATTGATGTTCAGGTTAAGATTGACCCATGGGTCAATTCGGCTCATCCCAAAAAATAATGAAATTTAAAAAAATAAAGAAAAATTATATGAAAATGTCAAAATTAAAAGAATTAACTTTAAAATTTCAAATATAAAATAAAAAACTTGAACATTTAACAATTTAAAGAATAAACAATAAAAAGTAAAGACTAAATAGAAAAAGTTAAAGAGTGGAAACTTCAAACAATGCATAAATAATCCCAAATAGACTTGACAAATCGGGTCAACGAGTTGACCCATGACCCAACCCAGCCCAACCTAGTTTTTTTTGGGTTGGGTCGGATCGGGTCATTTTCACATTTGGGTAGCTAAATATGAGACCCTAACCCTGTTTTTTCGGGTTGGGTCGGGTCGGGGGTTCATGGGTTAGGTCAACTTTTTATCGGGTCTCATTCTCTAAATTTTCAGATTAGGGCAAAATGAATGAATCGACTCCTTTTTAAGTGTGTCGAGGGTATTTTTGTAATTTTAGAGAACTTTAGGAGCAATTTTGGTAATTTTTGACAAGTTGGGTTAAACCGGGTTCTTGGTTCAATAATGGGTGGTTCCGGGTCAAAAAATGGAGGATTGAGATGGGTTTGACCACAGAGAGTGGGTTTATGTCTATGGGCTAACGGGATTTGTCGAAATGGAATCTTTTTGGATGGAAGGGTAAATAAGGGTATTTTTGGTTGAAATTTTATAGGATGGGGTTTTCAGACATTATGAATTGATTGGTGGGGTTCCAATTGGACCAACTGGGCCCGAATTGGGCAGATCTGGAAAGGGCTCAATTCAATTAATCTAGGGATTCGAAATGGAATCAGTACTCGATGAAGGGGTAAATGAAGGTAGTTTCAGGTGAAATTTCACAGGATAGGGTTTTTGGGTAGTCTGATGTGATTGGAAAGGTCTGATTGGTTTAGATGTGTTCGGATCAAGGGAATTTGGATTCCAAGCGGATATAGGTTGTGGGTACGAGAAGGATCGAAATTGAATCTTTATTTGATGGACGGGTGAACAGAGGAAACACGAGTTCAAATTTCATGGGTAGGCGTTTTGGTATGTCCCAGGTCTAATGGTTGTGTCTGATCTAATGGTTGAGGTGCGAGTGAGGGCCGATCGGGGCTATCAAATAGGTATCAGGCAGGTTTAACGGTGGATTTGAGGGTTCTTGGGGTGAAATTCGGGTCTTTTTGGGTTTTTGGGTGTTTTGGATGGATCGGAATGTTCTGATTAGGGATTTGGGGTGAATTATAGGTTTAGGCGGCGGACCTAGCGGTGGACCGAGCAAAAATTAGTTGCTAACAATAAGTGAAACCACCCGTAGTGCAGTCACCCAAGCGATCAGCAGCAATGATCGCACATTGAGCATCACCATGAGCAACATGATCAGCAGAACCAGCAACATCATCATCAGGACGAAAGGGAACTCAACAACCAGCAGCCCGGAGTGAGGGCTGAGGATCCAGCCCGGGACCCATCCTATCACCCTAGCTAGCTAAATCCAGTCCGTGTTCGTGAGAATGTTAGTAACCGCAACCAGACCCCTACTCGTGGCACAGTCTGAGACTGGGAGAATCCTAGGGCCGTGACTCCGATCAATGTTGAGGCAAATAGCACCAACAACGAAGAAGCAAAGAAGTGACATCGCCGATGCACACGCCACACCCTGGGTAAGAGTAGTGTCGCTCTAACAATAGTAGAGAATAGGAGGGAAGAAGTGAGCTCTACAGCCACACAACCGGCTCCCATCCCACTAAGCCAGCCTTCCCCCCTAGCACAAGAAATCCTCTTGGCCCCAAGGCCAAAGAGGTTTAAGACCCTGGCCCAGGAGACTTACAATGGGAGCACAGATCCTAATGACCATGTAGACAGTTTCCAGTCCTTGATGTTGCTCGTGGGAGCTGATGAAGCCAGTCTATGCATGGCCTTCTCAACGACCCTCAGAGAGGATGCAAGGTTATGGTATAGAACTCAACCCCTAGGCTCGACCAGAAGTTGGAAGCAGTTTGTAACAAGCCTTCTGAACATGGTCCAAAAACAGAACGAGTCCCTAAGAGACTACATCAAATGGTTCAACTCAGATAGACTACAAGTACCCAACCTTGACCCAGCCATGTAGCTCACTGTGGCCAAGAGAGGAGTACACCATCCTGACCTCCATTGGCACCTCGAGTTGAACCCACTGAGCACTATGGAGTCATTCCTCGACAAGGCCGATAAGTCCATTAAGGTGGAAAAGGCTTTATGGTCCCGATTAGAGCTGCACTAGGCCTGGAAAAGGAAGAGAACAGAAGAAAAACCAAGTAGCAACAAGCAGCAATGGCGAAAGAGCAAGTCACCGAAGAGAAGCAGGTCACCGCGCAACCGGTGAAGCAAGTTGCCAAGAAAAAGTCGGTCACCACCTCGGGGTTTTGGATCAGGTCGGCAATCTAGAACCCCCCCATTCCGAGAACAACCTACACCGCCCTGAATGCAAGAAGGGGCAAAATTTGACTGGCAATAAAGGACATCGGCTAAGTTAAGTGGCTGCCTAGGATGTGAGGAGATCCCGCTAACAAAAACCCGAACTGGCATTGCCACTTTCACTAGGACATCGGGTATGATACTGAAAGTTGCCGCAACCTAAGGGACGAGATCGAGGAGCTG